ATGATTTATTTAAAATAGTTCCGCAATTAAAAACAGATTTTTAAAGCTAAAACTCTTTTCTATTGAATGGTATAATTATAAAATTTTTAAAAAAATATGTAGATATGATACAAACGTAAAGTAGCATTACAAACTTTTGCTTTTAACCAATATACATGTGTGTCGTTTTATTAATTTTATTACTTCAAAAAATTATTATGAGTATACTTGAATGTGTAATCCAATTTATTTTAGAAGTCACAATTTTAATTTTAACGATGGAATTTTCGTGACACAAAGCCTCTTTTGATTTATGAATTCAAAGAATCATCTAAAATATTCTTGTCATAAAATATAAATTTTTGTAAAAGAAATATATCTGTTGATTGTTCGAAAAGTTCGTTTAAAATTTTATTAGCCTAAAATTATATATGTACATCTTTGTTAAAAATGAACTTTGAATTTGAAAATGAATTTAAATTTGAAAAAGGGTTTTAAAGCTTGAAATCTCTATTTTCAAAAGCTTACTATATTTTTTAAGTTTATATGATATTAAGTTTATATTCGTAATTTTTTACATATAATAATTACGAGCTGAAAAAAGTATAAAAAACTTTTTTCCACTTTGTGAGACTATCATGTACCCAGAAAAAAATTTGAAAAAATTCTCGACAATCTATCATAAAAATTTGAACTTCCCCTACAAAATCGTTTTTTAAAAATGTTCCTATGGTTTTTTCTTCTCGAGTTAAGTAAAAAGTAGCATTTTGACTTTGATTGTTCATAACTTCGTTAAAAATTATCGTATCACAATTATAGAACCAGATTCTTAAAACTGAAACGTTGGAATATATGCATTTGAGCTAAAAATATGATATTACTTTCCTTGTAACCATTGCGCAATATATCATACTTTTAGCTTCAATTTATATATAGTCTATCTTTAATAAAATTAGCAATTATGTCATTCAACAGAGCAAAATTTTAGCTTTAAAAATTTATGCCTTGAATTGCAGTACGATGATTTTTAACCGAATTAGAAGTAATAAAGTCAGAAAAACGTTCTTTTTTATTTAATTCGTTAATAATTCAGTAATAAAACATCATAGGAACATTTAAAACAAAAACGAATTTTTTGGGAAACTTTATACTGTCACGTCACATAATTTTAAGCTTGCAAACCTTAAAACGAATTTTCCAAAGAACTTATAAATTATGTGATATATACAAAGTACGATATATAATAATTATATATAAAATATATAATTATAATATATACTTAAATTTTTATTATTCTTGTTATTGTTTCTTTATACTTTCTTTTCAATTATCTTGAAAAAAAATTTACTAAATTTTAATAAATATTTGTTTCAATAAGTACTAAAGAAGTATTTACTATGTATATGTATATAAATGTAAAAATATATTTATAATTTATACATAATGTTTTTATTCTGAGTAAATATTTATTTACTGTAAATAAATATTTTGTGATACTATCGAAACAAGTATTTATTAAAATCGAATAAATTTTTATTTCAATTCATTTGATCTGTTCGCATTAAAATTTTGTAACATCTCAGAAAAAATACAGTAATACCAAGAAAGTAATCTGCGATAACATTAATGTGCAAGAATTCGAAGTTCGTACTTTAAGTTGTACTATTAATTATTCGGCTTTCAGCTTAATTTGAAGTCAGTCTTCCTTTCCTTGTTTTGCAAAGTTCTCGAGTTATCACAGCGACGTATAATCCAGACACGCGTAATCATTCAGTCGAAGTCCCGACGAGTCATGCAATTTCTATCAAACCAAGTTCACCGGGAAAGCGCAGCGTCTCGATGAAAGTTGTTCGTCGGGAGACGTAATAGGTGCGCGCAATCGGACACTTGATATCTAAATATTTCGATCAAGCGAGTCGCTTGTCGTCGAAGCCATTAAGAATATTGACTGCGACGGCATCACGAAGACTTTCCAAATATTAACGATGGACGACAATTGTCGATGGCTTTACTTCCTCTCGCTTTCTTGGTGTTCATTTAATAAATTTACCGAATAAGTTAAATGCACAGACTTCTATAAGAAAAAAGAATAGATTGTTCATCATTATTTATTTCCACTTGTACAAAGATAATCGTTGTAAAAATGAAAGAGAATAAAAAAATCAACGTAAAATACAACAAATTTTAATTAATTTAATTAAGCTCTATTTTGCTTAAATTAAACTAATTTTCGAATTAATTAAAGTAGGTTAAATTTTGACACTTTAAACCAAGTTTTTAGAAAAAATAATTTTTTCTTTAAGATTATATATATATATATATATATATACACATATATATATGATTATATTATACATTTTTTAGAAAAAAGTTTAATTTATAAAAAGTTTGTAAATTTTTTTACATTTTTACAAAATAACCACTATCTTTTATAAAAGCGCATTCTTTACGAGGATTTAAAGTCTGTAATAGATTTCCCAAAGTTAAAAGATTAAGAAAAGAAAAAATTAATTACTTTGATTTTTTTTCAACTGTTTTCGCGCATTATTTCCTCTTTTATCGTCTTTCAGCCCTTTTAAAAAAAAGTGCCATTTTCAACTGCTCACATAATCTGCACATTATGTTTCGTTTTTGATGAATTTTAAATCAAAGACGTTTTTCAGTATTAGATAAACGTTACCTCAAACGAAATAAGCATCACAAATTTGACATATACGAAAACGCAAATGTAAATTTGCAGCGTAAGCTTGTCTCACATCGCAAAGTACCTGTACAGATTAATTCCGGTAGTTTTAATTTCATTATCATATGTAACAGAGCTTTATTAAACGCTCCAAATACGATAAAAGCAGTAACAGTACAAATCCGTTAATTGAAAGAATATATAATAAGAATTCTAACGATATGCTTATAGAAAAATGTATTCAGAAGTAGCATAATTCAATGCAATATGCTTGTAACAGTATTCATTGTACATACATATTGCGCATAATGAAAATGAATGAATTATTAATTAAAGACATTAATAAGATTTGTATTTATAATCATTATTAAATATCTTATCTTTAGTGCATATTAGATAATATTCTTAGAATGAAGACATGTAAGAAAATCCAATAGTGTCATATTTAAATTAGTGATTTGATTGCTCAGCCAGAAAAACTCAGTTAAAACACATGTAACATTTGATTTGAAGTTCAAGGTATTAATTAAAACAGTAATACGCTATTACTAAAAACCGTGAAATCGCAATTCTTAGAAAAAGATCTTAATAGAAATTGGGAAAATTCTTGGAATTGTAGATCTCTTCATTTATTATGTTCTCAACTCTTTGTCGATTTTCGCGACTCTTTTAATTTTCACGATTTGTAATTTCAAATTGTTAAAGTTATAATTGTTAAAAGTTTAGGAAGTTCTCCCTCTTGAAATTAAAATTATATTAAACTATAAACATGCCGCGCACACGCACGCAATTTATCAGACATTCTTAGTTTCTTATTTTGTCTGTTCATGTATGTAAATATAATAGATTACTATTTAATTGTATTACTGACCAAAATTATACACGTCTAAAAACGATTCCAAATAAAACATCTTAAAATAATGCCTCAAAAACTTACATATATTTAATAAATTAAAATATAAGATATCTTAAAGATAATACATATATTTTTTTTAATTCTATAAGAATATACGTATAATGATAGATATATTTATAATGTCTCTCTCCGAAAGAGTTGAAGATGTTCCTTACAGTTAGATGGTTTCAAGAATACTGGCTGAGTTCAGCAGAAAGAGCAGCTTTGCAACTGTTGTAAACTTGCTTTTTCTGCTCTGAATGTGTAGCCAATATAATGTTTTTTGATTCTATACTTTCATGTGAAGTTATATATATTTGAAGACTTGTTGACAAGATAAAAAGCACAACAGAAAAACTGGAACTGGTCAATAAATCACTTTATAGGTCATTATTTTATGAGTTGATAAATTAAGATAAATTTTTATCTTTAAACAAGATCTTTTACAGAGACAAGAATATATATGTACATAAATTTACAGACTTGTATCAATCAGAGGAACTCGTGGACCTGCGATTTCAATTTGTAGTTTCAAAGATTCTAACAATTCGTGGACTTAGCGAGGTGTAAAGCAATTTGCACGTTTAGATCTGTGGATTTGAGGATGTACCAGTGCACAAACCTAGCGATCTATTATCGCTTGAACTATCTGTGTCTACGAAATAAACGATCTGCTCTAGCTGTCTATGCAACCATGAATTTATGAACCTGCCATTCTATATAAACTCTATATTAACATTATATAAATCTTTTTGTTTATCATTAAATTTAAAATATTTTTTAAACTGAGCTAATTTTATTACTGAAATAATTTTTAAAAAAATAGAGTACTCTTTTATAATTAATATAATCTCACACGCACATACACACACGCAATTTCATTTTACAAATCTTTTACAAGTTTATCGAAATGTTAATAATATATAAAATGTTGGGTTATATTAAAAAAAAAATTATGTTATAATAACAATTTATAATTTAATATAAATTAAACTATTTAATAATATGCTGTGTAGAACTATTTTAATTAATTATTTTGATAATATATTTCCTTTTTCAAACAATTTTTTTTTTTGCTTAATAACGTAGTATTACAAGTTAAATAGAAAATGTTACAGTTGACTTTCAAAGCAGCTATCTCGATAAGTAACGCTATGTTATTTAAAGGTAGATTTATTAGTTTTATTGATTTATCTCAATAATCAATATGTATATGCATCAAATCGATTTCGTAGACACAGATAGTTCAAGCGATAATAGATCGCTAGGTTTGCAATGCACATTTTTGTGGAATTCTAAAACGAGATGAGAATAAAACGCACTTTCAAGCTTTTAATAATATACTTAACTTTCCACATCGTCAGCAATCTGTCGCTTTGACCGGCAATCCATTCAATTCGTACGTATCAGAAACCAATCACGACGAATACGCCTACGTGGTAAATGCGGATGCGCTTACAGGCCGATCTGATATCCACGATACGGTATGATTGCGAACAAGCGATCTCGAAAAATACGGCCTACCGTGACCTATACGATGAGCACGGGCAATGTACGGCAGGCGCTCATGTAATATATAATGTGTATGCACATAACGAATATCTTACGCGGCCACCAGAGCGTTTCCTTACACCGTTAACCGTATCGAAGTGGGTTCTTGGTTCTGGTCGCGTGCTGGTCACCTTGTTCCTTACCTATGGTAAAACGTAATGGTGTTGTAAATGTCGTCGGCACCGAGGTCGTCCACGATTCACCAAGCAGGTCCTTTTCACGGCGATAATTAATGCGAGCGTCGTCGATGAAAGGCGAACGTCCCGAGTATCGTAACGTGTATTAATTGGACGCTTAATCGCTTTTTATTGTATCGCGTACTTCATAAGGAGGCCCCGGAAGTATACTTTCCATGTTATACTTTGCAGCTTTATGCAAGGCAAACGACCAAGGCACCTCGCGCAATACATATAAAGTGCCAATAAAGAGGCGATTAAAGAGAAATAATTATTATTCGCACATTCGTATTGCTCGCGTTGGTGTGCTGGGAGTTTAAATGAAATAATTGAACTCCTGAATAAACGACGGTATGTATGTATGTACCAACGATAGAATCGATAATTATCCAGTGTATATAAGTTGTCGTCTTTTAAGTAGCTAGCTGAAGATAAACTGCAATGGGTTTCAAATATTTCTCAAAACGTCATTCACAATTGCAAGAGCCATTCAAAGCAAATACCTTAATTAACTTTAACTCTATAAGCCCAATGCAAGAATTCTTATCATATATAAAATTCATTTGTGTATTAATATATTATATATATAACATAAAATATTTAAAAAATTATAAATATTATTTTTTTAATTTTTAATAATGTAAGTTATAATACTATATAAATTACGAATATAATTGTTAATATCATATTTCACAATATTATTATATAATATTAGAAATTAATAATAGAAAACGAATGTAGATTATAGAGACTGAAAATAAATATAGGTTAAAGTGAAATGTGTATTATCCATATTTGCATATCATGATTCAAAAAAGTTTTTACTTTCAATAATTTACAATTTAAAAACACATTATATCTCGATATTTTTGTATAATGAGATAAGTGACTCTTAGATATAAGCACTTCGCCCTGAATGTTTTATACGTTGATTTAGCTGGTAATATTCCTGACCGCCTGCACGATTTCTCACGGAAAGAAATTCAATTCAATTAAAGAGTTCATGCAATTTCGGTAAATCAGGGTAACGCGGGGGGTTTCCTCTAAGTAGAAAGTAAATCTGATTAAAATTGAAAATAATGCGCGATCCGCTATAGTGCCACGAGCGCGACTGAACGGCAGTAAATTGCCGTGAAAAAAAAAGTTGGCTGCATAACAGTTATAGAACAATACGGTTGTTAGGTTTTAGCCGCTATTTATGCGAATTCACTCCGTAATTCACGATTCTGTTTACGATCCGAACGCGTTACGCGTACGTTATCGCTTTGCTCTGTACTTATCATACGGTACTATTTACTCTAGACTATCTGCTGTAACAGTTTTAGCGTCATTAAGCGAAGGTAATTAGCTATTTGCAAAACGTATCAGTGCGCTTCTAAAACGTCGTTTTCAAATCAACTGAACGTTGCAATGACGAATTCGCGACAACACGTATTGTCTCAACAAGACCGAGAACATGTGCCAAAGGCCACAACAATTTTATTCGATTAACATGCAGTATGGAACGTTCAGGTGCAGGTCGTTTGCTTTCTCTCTCTCTCTCTCTCTCTCTCTCTCTCTCTCTCTCTCTCTCTCTCTCTTTTTTACCTTATCTTGCAATTACAATTATTGATAGACTATCGCACAAAGACGTCTTGTCAAAAAGGATTTCTAATTAAATGAGATAAAACATATTTCTGGCATACTTAATCTTATCGCAGTATTTGCAGCATAATAATAAAATTATATTAAGATTAGAATAATAATTCTTCACTGGAATTAAGGGCTTACATATTACGTCGAGGGGCTTATCACTTAATGTAATCGTGGAACAGAGCTCCCGAAATCATTATAAAATTCAAATGAAATTCCTATGATAAAATTGTTTATTTTACCAAATGACTTCATATGTATAAGTGAAGGAAGTTATTTGTAATGAGATGAAATTGTATGAAATCTGTGGGACAAATAGTTCAGTTAGTAATTACTCCCTCGTATTACGTTTCCGGCGACGAAAAATTAATTTGAAAATATTCTTTAGAAAGGGGGAGTAAAATAGATTAAAAAATTAATATTATAATTTATGTATCTACGTAGTTCCGTTTTTAGTTACATATCATATATTATAATTTAAGTTCACATATTCTTTAGAATCTTTAGATTAGATCTTTATTCAATGTTATAACGCTTAATGTTGGCATTATAATATCTAGTACGAAACCGCAATATCATTTTATTCTAGATTTAATAATTTTTCATTAAAAATATTTTGTTAACAATAAATTAATATGATTATCCCTATATCGATTCTATTTTATGACAGATGAATAATAGCATTGGAGCCTGAAATTTTTTCTATAAGTGTGGGCGAAGCTCGAAAGAGCCAAGCGCGTAGTATAGACCAAAATAAATTTCCATACATATGATATACTTCCAGATAAATTATAACTTTAAACAAAAACATCGTTCGTCTTCCGCCGAGACGACAGGCTGAGAAATATTAAACGCTACTTCAGTGTTGTTCGTGAGCGACGAAAATAATCGCGTGCGACAGTTTCGAGAAGAGAGGAAACTACTAAAGGAATGCCTCGGGATAGGAAGCGCAAATCGTTCCCGCGCGAGCCCTGAAATCTTTCGTCGCCGCCCTCTCGTCAGATCTTGAATACCATTCTTGGCTCGCGTTTCAGGTCGCCGCCGCCGTTGCTCAGGATTACGAGGTCTCGGACATTCAGTGCAGCGGCGCGGGATCGGCGGTCGATCTCCTGACAGCGAAGATCAAAAGGCCGGTCGGCTTCAGAGGCACGCCGCTCTTCGCGGACGACAGATCAGCGAATCCACTCGCCGATATTCATTGCCAGATCAGGCCGGATCCGAACGATCCTCAGGAAGATAACTACTTCCTGAAGGTGACTGACTTCACTCGATGCGGCATCCTCAAGAGAAACGTGAGTCATCGAGCGAGTTACGCGGAACGCAATTTTTACAAGGGGGTCCCACGATGACGCTTCGTCCAAGGCTTCTCCGTTCCTCCAGGGCTTGCATCTGACGTTGCACAAACGGAACAGCCTTTGCGAATAGCGATCGATCGATAGCGATTCTAATTCGCAATTGATTCCCTCTCAGGAGCTTACTGCTATCGCAGATACGCTTTGTACGTCCAATCGGATGGTATATCAGGCATAGAATGCCGTTATGATATTTCGAGAAGAAGTAACTAGCACTCGCTGTAGCCCGCTAGTTGATGCGTCCAAGTTTAACTGTACTATTCGCCTAATTCCGCGCTTCGCTGCCGCAAACGTCCTATATTTGAGCCACGACGCATCTCGCGGAACGTCCTTGTAAAAATTCTGACATATTTCCTTGTAAAATATATTACCTGCACTGAACCGTGTAACTCGCACAAATCTTTATTAATCGATCTTATGTGCAATAAGCTACATTATTGTCTCAATTAATTACTGTATCACCAGGGATTTATCCATCTGCGAGTGTGGTTTCCCGCCTTTCCCGGCGTGGTGATGCTGGCCGATCAGGAGCTGATCCTGATGTGTCGACCGCCCGAGCCGACCCTGCTAAGGCACAAGGCTGCCGGTTTCGCTGGCACTTTGTAAGTCACACGCATTCCACCCGCATACACACGATATCTCCTCAAAATCTCTCGCGAGTAATGGATGAGTATTATTTCCGCCACGTCGCGTTTCACGTCCGCCGAGAAGCGGCATTTCTGCGCGAGTTCCTGCCTCGGAGATACGGTTATCCGCTTATTTAATTAATATGCTTCATAATAGTCTAAACGTATAAGTATTGTCAAAAGAGGAGATCTTGTTTGCTCAATTGCTCTAGTTTGCTTGGATCTATACAATAATTTAGTAGTATCCTGTGCAATAAAAACTAAAAACATCCAGTCTACCGACTAAAGATAACATGACTGTTGTAATAATATTCTGCACTCAACAATGTAATTGTTAAATTATAATATAAATTTAATATAACATACCATGTACTGTTAAGTGCTGAATTGCAACATTGATGTTATATTAGGTACTCTTAGTTGTTGTTAACTGAACAGCTACATCTTTCCGAGATAAAATTGAAGATAAATTATGTATGTAAATTATAAATAAGAAATAGAAGATTTTGCTATCTAAAAATTTAGCTGGCTTTAAAAATAATTTTTGAATCGTTAAAATAATTATGTAGAAATCTCAAGCAATGCTGCAAAAAGTTTTGACATTCTAGCAACTAATTTGAGCGTCTTACATAATTATTTTGATAGACCAACAAAATTATTTTCAGATCTAGCGAAATTTTTAGATATTGCCGCAAAACTGTCCTTTCTGTAACCACTTCGAAGATTAAAAAAAAATAATATAATACATATTTTAAACTTATATATAAACGAGGAAAAACTTGTGACAGAAATATAGAATTAATGATATATAGCTGATATAACAGCAAGAGAGAACGCAACGTGCTGAAACGACGACGCGCGTCTGCTTTAAAGGGTTAATCGTTTCAGTCCGCACGGCGCCAGAGTGTCCGGGGTGGTGGAGGAGACACCGGGCCGGCTCGAGTACGAAGTGGCTCTTTATCGCGAAGCGACCGGCAACGTATCCGATAATTCGCAGACGGTCGATCAGGCGGTACCGATCGGTACGAAGCTGCAGCTGCGCGCCCGCATCAGCCCGGACAGCGCCTGGGGCTACATCAAGCTGCTGGAGGTGACGGTCAGTCCTGACCCGGATCAACCCCACGCCCCTGGTAGCGTCGTACTCGTAAAGGATGGTTGTAGGAATCGTGATTTCGCATCCATCATCCCGCATCAACCGGCGAGGTACCGCGAGCGCAAGAACGAAGTCTTTCTCGACTTTGAGGCCTTCTTACTGAGCTCGATGAGGGAGCGCTCCACCCTCTGGATCCACTCGCAGATAAAAGCGTGCATGGAGCCGCAAGATTGTCAACCGGTAAGTGATAACGATTTCTACTGAACGCACGTCGTGGAATAGGATGTGTGCCGTGGTGTGGTCTCAGAACCATAGAAAACCATCCGACGATATTACATAAAAATCTGAGTAATTTATATAATATATTGGTAAAAATGGTATCATGGCATATTCCATTTTATACAATAACTTGGTTAATCAATATTTAAATTTTTAACGATCACATTCATCAAAGTATTATTCAATCGATTTTAGAAAACAAGATTTTTACAAAACATTTAATACTCTGAGTCCTATTTACATAAAAATGTGACGACACTACTGTATAATAACTCGAAGAGAAACAAGAATGGTAATATAGCTTTTCACAAAAATAGATTTTAAAAAATTGATTTTGTTTTAAAAATAGTATTTAGTTAAAATTAACAAAAAGTGAAACATTGCAAAGCGTATATATAAATGTACACTCAACAGCAAAATTAAAGCATCATTTATCCTGCCCCCCAAAAATGGGCAAATTTCAAAAGAGTGTAACTTCGTTAAAAATGATCGTAAAAAAATTTTTTTTTAAAAACGTTTTAAAGCTTGAAGTCTCTATTTTCGAAAATGGTAAGTAATATTTCGATTTGATTAATTCTTTATGAAATTATATGCAGACACAAATGAAAGTGCGTCAATCTAAAAAATTTTTACTAACTTTGAGAAGTTTCATGGCGTGAATTAAAAATCGCATAAAAATTTAATTTACAGCATTTGTGCACAATTTTTAGTTCGCGTTGTAAAACTTCTCAAATTTCGTAAAAAATTTTGAGATTTGACACATCTTTATGTTTATGTAACTTTATGAGATATCAGTAATACCGGTTTTTTGAAATACCGATGTGAAAAGTAAAGATTTCAAGCTTGAAATTATTTTCAGCATATTAATTAAAATCTTTTTAACAGATACGTATATATATATATAGTATATATAAATCATATAGAATTATTTAAGCATTAAAGATCCAGCTTTAACCGTTATGAGTCTCTATTTTCTATACATTAGTTGTATTTCACATGTACGCCCAATAAGGCTGCATTCGAGAAGCGCACTTTTAGCGCTATTTGTGTCATCTATTCTCGTTTTGCGTCTAATAAACGAAGAAAAGATGACGCAAATAGTGCTAATAGTGTGTCTCTCCGAATATATTCTAAAATTCTATTTAAAAATTTATAATGCATAATATAAATTATGAATAGGCTGCAATTGATTTAAACTCACTTTAGACGAACCTATAATTCGCGACCAAATTCAATACAAAATTCTACTTACAATTTTGTGTCACATATCCTAAATATAAATGCGTATCCTAATATATATTTTGTATAAGTATGTATAAAGTTTACTTCTCTTTAAATGTTTCTATATTACACGACACGTAAAATTATAAATAGAATTCTATTCCGAATTTGGTTGCGAATTCTAGATCGTCTAAAGTGAGTTTTGTGGAATAATTATATTTTGATATATAAAAACCTTGAAAAAGAGGCGATCAGAAATCGGCACACTTAAGAAGTCACGTTAGCAAAATTCCATACTTTCTATTATTTAACTTTGCATAATTTGAAATGTATACAAAAACCAAATAAAATATTATATTAAATACCAAAGAAAATACTCAAATATACATATATTCGTGTGATAATACATTCAAGTATAAGACTGAGAAAGATATATATTTATTGTGATTAAATGCTAAAATGTATTATACCTTAAAAACATTTCAAAATGTTTGAAAGTAAAAATGCGTTATAATAAATATTGATTAATGTGTGTTGGCATATTAACGTTATGATGTAACGGCAAGTTACTGAGTAAATAATTCCATAATTCATTAAAAATTCGCCATTTAATAACGGAGATATTAAAAGGGCTGTAATACCATAGAGAAACCTCTTTAATAATATCTACAACTACTATAATATTATACTGTTATATCTTCTCCTCTACTTTAGTTTTAACCCGAAAGTTTATATAATTGTATTTATATTATTTATATAATTGTCATTATTTGAGAAAGGATTTATGTTGTAGTTTAAACTTATTAAACTTGAATTTTTCTGATTATCTCTTCATTTTGCGCTAAGTTTGAGTCTTATCTAAAGAATTAGATACAAATTTACAACAAAATTTTATATGTATAATTCTTCGAGCAGTCCAGAATGTATTTTTATTATTAATGTCAATATAGACTGACACCATTTTGTCAGCTATTTCTTAATTATTATACCACGGAAAAATATAATTTTTTATTATTATTTAAATAATATGCTACAAAAGTCTGTCTGTAAATAAAAATTTACAGCTGTTAATACAGCTGTTCAACAGAACATTTCCTATAAAAGCATTAATCAAAGGGAATTTTACTGTATAAATAACTTACTCCATACTGCATGCATGTCTAAATGTTATATGTATTAAAATTTAGAATGGGATCATTTGGGCGAACTCAACATTCGAATGCATTAGGTACACCAGCATGTCACACGAGTAAAATTTATGACAGAAAGAAAATGCAATAATATCAGAATGTAGTATGTATGACGCGCATACAAAAATTCATTATCACAGCGGAAACCAACGTGGTATTTAACATCAAAAATATAATCGAGATACCTGTCGTACAAGAATCTGCCTGAAATGTGAAAAAAATATAGTATTTATGAATCTCACATAAAGATGAAATTATAGATCAACAAATCTAGAAGTCGATGGAAAAGAGATAAATTATTCAAGTATTATCCATGTCTCACAATCAGTCCAGCATTTCAATCTCTATACTTCGACCTACATCTATATTACGCTGCCTACATTACGTTAATTAATCGACATTTTTCATTTTAGTTATTACAGTAATCTTCCGTGACACTTATTGGAACTTTCTAAATATGGCATACAAATAAGCTAGCATTTTATTTTTGCTGTTATCTACCGTGTACCTCTATTTTTTCAGGACTTCTGTCTCGACCTCTTTGAACCTTCGGGACACGGGAAGAAGAGGAAGAGAGCCGTAGAGGCGAACGTGGAAGTATTAGGCGAGTTCCTTCCGAAGGTCGAGCGTTTGATCAAAAGGTACAACGACTCCACTCCGTACACAAAGTTCAAAGAGAATATTGAATATACAGTAATGATGCCCGATGGTAAGTTCCACATTTCTAAATACATCAATCATATTGAAATTAAATCTTCTTGACCGTGTAATCGAAATTAATCTTTCTCGTGTCAACTCGAGATAAGAAAGGAGATTAATGTAACTGGAATTCTGCAACGAGATTAATCGCTTCATCGCTTTTCGTATAGATCGCGTAATTATCATTCATTAATTATTACACATGAAATGTCAATATAATAATTAATTCAAAATATTAGATATGCAAAAATATTAGATATGTAAAAATTATTATATTTTTAACTTTTTGATAAGAAAGTAGAAAAGAGTATGTTAAAATGGGATCGATTTATGCTCAAAAAGGTACAAGTAAAAGAAAAAGTGTTTTTTTTTGCCAATTTTGACTTCCTGGATACGATAAAGTTATTAAAAAGTTCATAGAGTTTGATAAACACTTCGAAAATTAAGGGCAAACACGGTATAAGTATTTATTCAAATTCAATATTTTTGCTTAATTTTCGGAATGTTCCCCAAACGCCCAAATCTTTTCATTTTATCCAGAAGGTCAAAATCTATGAAAAACACTATTTTTCTTTTATTTATAGATATCTTTTTAAGCAGAAATCAGCTACTTTTTTTAACATTCTCTATTTTCTTTTTTGTTCTGTAACATAATATCCTCAATCTTGCGTCTTATACCCGTTTCCACCAATGTAAATTAACTTTAATCTCGGTCCAGTTTACTTTTCATCTTTTTCTAGTTCTAAAAATTAGAAAAAGATTAAGAGCAAGTTGAACCGAGATTAAAATTAATCTACATTGGTGAAAACGGGCATTAGCCCGCAAAGGTTAAAATAGTTATTATCCGGCTATTTATAAAAGAGACTTGATTTACATAACGGGAAAAGACGGAAAAAACGTGAGAAGCGATCGTTACAATTCTAATTAATATTCGCCTCATTATCGTAGATCTGTACGATAAAGTGACAGCCGGCCTCGAAGGTAGCTGCGGAAATTTCCTCTACGTGGCGACGGGACTGGGTGCGCTACTGGTGTTATCAGCCTTTATTATGTGCTACCTAGCATCGCGTCTTCACAATCTGTCCTCGACAGTGCAACATAACAAGTCGATCGACGAGTTGGTCAGAGACCGCACCAGGAAATATTGTGACATCACGCCCGGCTATACCGGTCGTTCGACCGTGCAATAGAGCGATGCGCGATTGAGAGATACATATAAATCGCATCGAATACTCCTCACAGTATACATCACGCGCACATCGTATCGTGTAATTAACGTAACGTTACTTTGAGATTAGGATGTTTATTTGCAAGGAGAGCATGTCATATTTACGAGCCACCTGACTCTCCACTTCAAGAAATAGAAGATGCTCGTCCCACTTCGGTGACGATGTATCTTAACGTCATTAACTGATACGATACGATACGATACGTTACGATAGTCGCAACTTCGTCGAGGAGTGATTCCTGCGAATTCTGAATTAACGTTCAGTCGTTCAGACAAGCGAGCGATACAGCCCACCGTAGAATAAAAATAGTTCTCATAACGGAGAACGCCCGGTGGCAAATGACTGTGCTTCCCATGCAAAATAAAATTAATTTTACGATGAACCAAGTGAAAAATAGATTGGGAATTCGTGAAAGAATTTACCACTATAGTTAAAGATAAAACATTGTCTGCTTTTTTTTTAAATTACAATTACAATACATTACACGATATGTCTTCACGAGGAAGCACTTTTTAAATTCTTTTATATAAATATAACTATGTATAGTCTCTCTGTTTGTTACTCAATTTTTCACTTTTGATTCTAGTAAAAAAAAACTGTAGGCTTTAAGAAAAATAATTTCTAATCTATTGTACACATCATGATTGTTAATAATTTAACATTAGATTGTTTGGTAAAGTCTATTATTAAACAATCAGACGAACAAAATTGCTAAAAATGATTATATATATATAATGAGTTATTTAATTTAATCGATTCTTTCGCGTTTCAAAGAACTTCATCCGTTTATTAATTAACATAACGCACTAATATTGTGTATTCTCCGAACATTTCGCACATGTAATTTCTGTCGCAAGTTTCACGATATTTGTCGATATTGCTCAAGTATGAAAAATAATCTCATTACAATGAGTCTCTCAAACGTGCAATGCTATCACGTGACCTGATCAAGCGAGTGGATTACTCGTGTGTAATAGGATAATAAGGACCTCGCCGAATAATCGAAATCGAACGGGACATCTGGGGTGGTTGCACGAATTTATCACACCTTGTAAATAAACACAAATACGGCTCGCATTTTACAGCATATCTTTTAACAGCGTAGATTTTATACGTATATTATTACAAAGACCTATAATATATACATATAATATATCGCAGTTAAATATATACAAAATATTTTGGAGAAAGTCTGTGACGAAAGTTTCGAATCAATCTGTTTCTAACAGAAGAAAAGGATTTAATAGGAGAAAGGAATCTAAAATTTTAGCGAGGAAAAGTTAATTTGTTCGTTGAATTATTATTTAGTTAGTACGTTAGAGCAATTAATAAGCGCCTGACTTGTTTTAAACAACTTTGCATTTCTCTCGAAGCTATCTTAAGAACATTCTAAAAAGAATAAGTTTCACAATTAATAAAATGATCGAGAGAAAAAAAGAGTAAAACTAATCGCGTATTAGCGCAAGGCGTGATTCTGAGGACACGGTAATCGATCCGTAAAGATAATTAAGAAGCGTAATATATATATTATTTACGACTATTGTAGATGTGATCGTGTACAATGACTATTTATTATAAAATAAAAGATTAAACTATCTTTTGCGTTACAATCTTTTCTCAGTGTCTCGATTTTTCTGTAAAAAATCATAAACTGTACAATTTTTTCTTCCGGTGTAATCTAATTCGACTATAGCTACGACTTCATCAGCGCCGATGCCATCACTGTTATCAGGTCGAAGAACCTGTTTGCGTTGCATAGGATGTCCCAGATTCTTCGTTCAATCGCAAATTACTCGTCGACTTGGTCACGGAACCCTACTTCCGTGAAAGCTTGACAGATCATTAGCTCTTCGCGATTTAATATCTAACAAAGAAAACTCCAATAACTTATCTGGAACATCCTTGAACATCTTCATATACGACAATATTGTGTTATTGTCCCTCTCTCTCATTTCCTCATAAACGCAAACAGAAAAAGTTGGAAATAAACGGTAACTCTGTTTTCGTTCAGTCTGTACGACCTGTGTCGTAAATCTAACTTCTTTGGCTCCGTTTATATTTTTTTGGGCATATAATATATATTCTAATATATCTCCCATTAAAAAATCTAACGTCTTATACTTATTACGCGTCATAATTTGCTCAATAAACAATGCGTGTCGTAAAGTTAATTAGTTACTTAGCTGGATATCTTACGAACTCGAAATTTGGTCGTAAGTATCACCGTCTATAGTAACGTAATCTTGGTATCGTTAAGAAATAAGCGATAGGCATTGTAAATGCTTAGGAACTTCCGATTAATTAGACCGAATCACGAGCCTAGCTCATTTATCTGCCAATCTCGACTATTTTCTGGATAAAGGACTACAGAATACTCACGTTCCAATATATTTTCGCTAATTAAACGCGTAAAATACTTCAAAAATGTAAGAAAAAATACACCTTATATTGCACAACGAGAATGATTTTTCTTTAAAGACCGAACATGTCACTATTGCGATAAAATTCAAACTATATCTAATAATTGATATAATTTGTTCAAAAATTAAAACTTCAATCAAATATATAATAAATGCTGTGTCTATATAAAAAGAATAAACATGATAGAACAATAAATTGATACGAAAATTATACGCACGATGAAAGAGAGCAGTAGCGCAATTCAATAACTCAACCTGTAAAATATTCGATCTTCGTTTTTACGTGTCTCAAATGATTGTTTATATGTAATTGTGATTATTTTCGATTAAGTTAAGCAACGACATCACAATGTTCACATCGCGTAAAAGAATAATTTAATTACTAACTGCATATCTACATTCAAAAACGTGCGATATACCTTTAAGACAACTCTGTTTTTTTTAGAGATATGTCGAAATATATGTACGGTGTTCCAGGGCTATGTTTCATCAGATCCTGTGACTAGAAATATAAGTCCAAAGTTAAATTATATAAGTTTCTTATATAAATTTCAATTAAAATTAATAGTCTTAAAGCACAATAAAACTCAATAAATGTATCTTAAACATCAATTATAATATAATTACTATTTTAATTGAAGAAATCGGATAAAGTAATAACACTAGCTTTTCGTTGTTCGCAATTAAATAATCAACAAAGTTCGAATATTTAAAACCTTTAGAGGACGGAAATTTATTTTTAAAACTTTACAACTTTTTCTTACGTAAGATTTGTTATAATTTCATTGTATATAGTATTCCTTGTTAAAAAAAATACTGTTAGCGCCATTATATAGACCCAGTAAATATATGTATATAGATTTTCTTTCTCGTCCTGTAAAAGTTAAATTAGATGTAATATCAATTACAATAATTATTACACAAGATTATAAAAGAATTTTATAAAATATTATACTAATTTCTAGATTTTGTAACGCATCAAATTTAGTTGACAAAATGTTTTTAAAATTTTATTTAGTTCACTATAATCTTTCGAAGAAATTATTTTTCCAAAAAATGCATTATAAATAATCAGAAAAGATATTAATTTCCATTTATAACTATATATAAATATAAATATATCTATTTTTAAATGGATTCAAGATTGATAAAAAAATTCATTGAACAAATGATGATAGTCCTGGCACACCTTGCATATAAAATGTTCACCTCATTTCATAATCATCATCGTTGTATATCATTTTCCATAAACATATTGCAACGAAATAAAACTAACATGGATTTCCACATCGCTAACTGCTATTTCTAGCATATTAATTGATTATGTGACATCATATTTACACATTGACTTTATAGAATCTAATCATCACACATACACTGCGAATGTCGCGGAAAGGAAATAAAATAAACAATTATTCAATCTTGTCATTTTTCTTAGACTTGATGAAGACTTCATAAGCAGCAAGCTCTTTTTTCTCCTTCCTTAAATTTCTATCCTCGTATTCCAACCTGCAATTAGACGCTAGATCAACACGTGATAGGAATGCTCATAGTTGTTGGGATATGTGGATGTGTTATTATTTAAAAAGGCTATTATATACTATGTCTCGCGAAAAATAAGAAAATGGATCAAAATGGGAACTCAAGAAAATACTTCGCAAGAAATTACATATCCCATCAGAAGCAGTAAATGAATGAATGACAACAAATTATAATGAGAAGTATGTAAATATGCGTTTATTGCAAATTGGATAGAAAATACAGAACTGCCAGATTTGTTCCATCAACGATTACTTAATAATTGAATAAAGAATACAAAACAACCAGATTTTATCAACGTTTGTTGAAATTCTTAATAACCGTATAAAGCTCGTTCGGCCTAGGGGGATAAAAAGCAGAATATGAAAAATTAATATGTAATTTTTTTTAAATTTTTTGGCCTAATTAAGATGTTTTAGTTTTGCAATATCAATTTTATTACGGGTATAGATAGGAATGAAATATATCAAACATATTGTTTGCTAAAAATATACAAATATTTTCAGTTTTGAAAATTTAAATCAAAATATTGTATAGTATAACTCTCTCTCGAGGACAGAAGTCAATATATATAATATGTTATTAAATAACATATTATTAAATAACATATTATTCATTAAATAATAACATGATCAGTTACTGTATTATTCTCTCACAACTAATTATAGTAGGTATACTTAATCATATCATAAATATGAATAATAAAAATATCAAATAAAACATTTTTGTATATATATTTTGTTTTAAATCTAAATAAATTGAACAAATTATTGAGACAATGTATAAAAATATATATTGATGTAATTTCATCAATAATTTATTAACTAAAAAAAATGTATACTTATATATAATTATACATAAATGCATAAACCATCATTAAAATGTGATAAAGAAAGTATACATGCATAGCATAATTGTAAAAATAGAACATACCTGTGAAGAATGATCCTTTCAACAATTTTTTCCGTTGTCATATCGTTACCGCTATCTAACAATTTAAATTTATTTTGCTTTTTTGGCTCCGAGTATGGATCCGACCCATCCTCGCAAAGCATTATGCCAGTTTGTCCATGACACACAACAGACACATTAAAATGTTCCATCAGATTTCTTGTCACTGCATACGGCGCACCAATAACAACTTCATTAACATACTGCGAATTAAGAGAAAAGATTACAATGTATAAAAACTGTGTGATGTAACTTGCTTCTCAATTAGTGGCATGAGTTATTAGATTTTTTAAATTTCTTTTACTGAAAATATGCGTCGTAATTTTCTTTCAACTGCGCATATTGCGTCTTATGTTCATGTATTGAATAAGCTATTAATACTAATCTTATTATATTACTCATATTTTTTTACGCTATCTCACGCATACATTTATTAAAAATCTCGGAAGCGCAAAAACAAGACTCACCTTACACGCTAACACACTGAGAACTCGCTCATGAAGATTCATAATAGGATGATTACCGCATTTGTATCGATTGACTGCAGGATCGGTATGCAGACCCACAATGAGATAGTCTCCCTCTTTCTTAGCGACTTCCAAGAAATCCAAGTGTCCCACGTGGAAGAGATCAAACGCGCCTGCCACGTACACAATCTTATCGCCTGACTGCGGACTCTTGCCGTCGCTAAATTGTATAATTTTCTGTGTGGTTGGCAAGAATTGTGAGCAGCCAGTCCACGGACTCCGGGCGGTTCGATCCTGACCCATCCTCTTGCTCGGTTCTCTATCGACGCTGTATTCATTGTCACCCTGTCGAAAATGCTGTCGTGTCATTAACAGCATACGTCCAACAAGATCGGTCGTTGAGACACCGGCTGTACGTTGAACTTCTCTGAAATAATCAAGTCCCTCCTTAGTAAAAGATTATGTAATTTTTAAGAAATATTTAAATAACAATAATTTATAATATCTTCAATAATTTCCATCTTAATGCCTTTTTTAAAGAAACACTACTACCTGTAGCGACCGGCTGCCTTGACTAAATGATACGTGTCCACGCCGTCAGCCGTCATTGTGATATCATCGCCGTGAACACAAAAATCACAGTTATATTTGTCTAATGTTTCTAATGTAGTAACGTAGGGCGCAGCTTCGACTACTTCGTCTACCCATTTAATGCCACGCACCATTTTGTACCTAAAAAAAAAAAAAAAAAAAAATTTGATTGAGTACGTTAATACTTCGTAATTATAATACTTATGTTTATATATAATCATTATTGTTACTTTATCAACTTTATTATATGTTTACAACTATTCCCAAAAATTTTTGCAAAAAAAGGCAATTTTTAATTTTATTCTGAAAGTTTCATTGTTATCATATCAGCGTAATCTTATATGATTACAATTGTTATCTGAAGATTTTTATCAACATTTTATATGATTACAATCTGTAACTCATATTGGAGATGTAATTTTGTACGATTACAATCTGTAATTAATACTGGAGAAAGTAACTTATATAAATGTAACTGACAAGACAAGATTCTTGCTTTATAGCAATGTTCGTTAACAGTTCAGTTCAGTTTTTTCTGCGTAGATATTGACCTACAATGTCAAGGCTCTAGCAAGACCTTCCTACCAAGTCTATAAAGTGATTATAGCTTTGGAATACATAAATATTTTATCATTAAGTGATAATATGGAACTGGGATAAACATTTTATCTAATGTAATAACTAAATATTACAATGTGCTAGAATCGAAACACTAATGTTATATAACATTTCTAAGGCATAACAGAGAAAAAAGTGTGTTGTACAAGAATAAGTGAAGAAGACACTTGTATCCATTATACTAGTATTACGAGTTTCAAGAGAATAATGTACGAAACGTGAAATCGATTAACACATAATAACCAACTCTAGAATGGCAATCAAAATAGTGGTCGGTCATTATGACTTATATAATTTCCTTTAGTGAAACAACAGATATACCTTTCTTCCTCAGTGAAGACGGGAGGGCCTTTATGTTTTGTAATTTCTTCATCATTGTGAACTCCTACCACCAGATAATCGCCTAAAGCTTTCGCCTGCCTCAAGGAATTTGCGTGTCCAAAATGCACCATGTCATAGCTGCAATCAATCGTGTATTTAATTTGTTTAAATAAAGAGAAAATATCATTGTCAAAAATGTAATAAAACTATTTCACTAAATAATTATTTTTAAAAAACCGTTCAGCGTCATATAATACAAAAAAATTCAAATTTTTTTATAAACTAATATTGTCCGAATTTTTTGAGTGAAAAAAAGATTAAATATCATTTTCACTATAAATATATAAGTAATAATAGGTCGATAAAAACATATCTATATAAATCTATAAATTATTTATGCCTTAGCATTTCATACTTAAATAATATTAAACTAAAATCAGCAAACTGTGCAAACAACTGAAAGGAAAACATTCTTTAAGACACAAGTAAAAAAACTGGATTTTAGCATAAGAATGTATAATATATCTATATATAGATATGATACACATTAAAAATGAAATATGTAAATAATTCAACAAAGACATCGAGAAAAGCAGTCCGTCAACAGACCTCAAATGTAAAATGTTTTGATAACTATTACATTAAATCGCGCCCATTGCGATAACGCTGGATACAAGTCGCATGACGACAACATACTGATTTATACGAATCTGTGTGTATATAAATATCCATCGCGTTCAAAATTAATATTAAGTAACTACATGGAAAAATATACAAAATTATTTCGAAAAAACAAGTCATAAATAAAATTCGGTCTATAAATAATACAATATAAATATCAAAGAGATATTGAAGAGAGAAATAAAAATAAAAATTAATGTTAAAATAATCAACAAAAAAACTGAAATCGATATATACGAAGCTACAATTTGATGAATTCATTTTTGCATCATCAATACATATTATTGATTATAATTTGCACATATAATAACTACATAAAATATAAACGTAAGTTAAGCATGTCACCTCCAAGGCCTCGCATTCCAAGGATTTTGCGCCATTGTAAAAAAAAAATGTAACGAACCGTAGACATCGCATACGAAACAACGATCACATTTCATGTACGCTTATTGTTAATCGATTATCATTCCAATGACTCGTATGCCAACGGCATTACTTAATGAACAAAGGTATAATTTATGCAAGTGTTTTAGACGAGTTATTGTGTACGCCAGAAAAGAAAACGACGGGATTCGAGGCCGCGAAACAAGGGCTCGATTTCGGCGACACCAACCAGCACGAACCGGTCTATCATGTTCGTCCTGTCCATGTACCATTTTATCAGAGAATAAACGAGGACATGCGACACTCTGAATTGTGTTACAGTGAACTGCTCCGGCCGGAGACGATTCTCTATTGCCAATCACGCGTGAAGTGCAATTTCGGAGTACGTCGTATACATAATTTCCTCATTCAACTAATTTACTTCGGCTACACGGAGAGCAATTTTGCTGAAGAATCTAAAAATTTAGCTAGATATAGATTTGAAAATAATTTTGCTGGACCATCAAAATAATTAGGTAGGACGATAAAATTTGTTGCTAAAATATCAAAACATCTTGTAACATTACTTATTATACTTAAGATTCTTATAAAATTATATTTTGATGGTCCGAAAAAATTATTTCCAGATTTGTATCTATAGCTAAATTTTTAGATTCTTCAGCAATTATTCTGTTCGTAGAGAACAGAAACTGGAAAGTGCCTTTCCTTTTACTCACAATAAATCCCCTCTAATATAAAATAAATAATAAAATAGAAAATACCAATAAATAAATAAGAATATAATTTATATGGTAAGTATAAGACATTTATAATAAGAATAAATTATTCGTTTACAATCAGTACATGAAAGCTTTAACAAAGAAAATTGAAGAATTCTATAATTCAAGAATTTGTCTCTTCCCGTATATTTCCTCAATCAATTAATCAACTAATCTACTTTACTAGAATATATAGTGACTGGATTCGCTTGCCTTTCCTCTTGTCCAATAAAAAAAATCCCCTACAATATAAGCATAAACTAAAATAAAGTAAAATAATAAAATATAAATGAAAATATTTCTAGATAAGTAGAAACCTTATAATAAGAATCAATCATCCTCCTTTTGCAATCAGCGCGTGAAAGTTTAAATAAGAAAAATATATGGAGAATGCTAATTCATTCAAGGAACTTGTCTTTCCTTGAATATACTCGATTAATGTATTTTCTTTAAAAAAAAGTTATCCATTTCTATCAACGTAGGTTAATTACTTTTATTTAATTTTTAAAAACAGATACAAAGTAAGAAAACCGAGATTAAAGTTAATCTAAATTAATAGAAATAAAAACATAAGACTTTATCACAAGAGAAATGGACATGAGACTTTATTATCTGTGAAATAGATACGAGGAAAATAAATTTGCTTCTTCTGTTGTTCACGATAAAATTCCACAATATATACATATAAACAGGATTATTATAAAATAATAAGTAAATAAGTAAGGATACAATTTCTATGGTAAGTAGAAATCTTTAATAAGAATAAATCCTTCATTTGCGATCGCGTAAAAATAAATTATCGAAAAAAAACTCAGGGAACTAATTCAGGAATTCATCTTGCTCGTGTGTACGCATATTTTCTCATTCATATATTATATATACATATATTCAACCAATCTACTTCACTAGAACGAAGACTGGAGAACAGTCTTATCTCTCCTTTTATTCGCGATAAAATTCTAGAATATAAATTAAATAACAGAACATATAGAATATAAATAAGGATATAGTTATAAATAAGAATATGTATAGAAATCTCTTAAGAATAAATATTTCATTTGCGGTCGCGGGAAAGTTAACGAGGAAAATCGATCGAGAAACTAATTCTGCAGGAACTTGTCTTCCTCGTGTACGCACAATGAAAAAGATTTACTGAATCTTAATAAATATTTATTTAAATAATACCAACAAATATTTACTCGATAAAAAAATAATACTTAAATCAAATTAATAATTCTTGTACCAAGTAAATATACATTTAAATTTAGCAAATATTCCGTTAGTATTACTCAAACAATTAATATTTATTAATATTTAGTACATCTTTTAAGTGTACATTTCTTCATTGGGTAAGAAAAAATGCTTCGCTAGAACGAAGATTGGAGAATGCCTTTCCTCTTGTTCACGATAAAATCCTTACGATATAAACTGAAAATAAAATCATTGAAAATACAGATAAAAATATAATTTTATACGTGGAAACCTATAATAAATAAGGATAAATCATCCGTTTGCAATCAGTGGTGATGTGAAAGTTAATAACGAAGGAAGATCGAGAAAGCTAATTCAGGAAACTCACCTTCCACGCAATTTTACTTACGCAGGTGGGAGGGTGGGTGAAACACGTATGACCGTGCAATAATATTGATTGATCGCGTTCCTAACAAAGCTCGTGGCGAGGATCCGCACCCCGCGCGCGTTGCGACACGTCAAGACGATGACGGTATAGACGACACGTATACCGTGCCGACCGGCCGGGGCGACGAGCGGCGTCGCTTCGCAATCCCACATATTCAACGTGTATTCCCTTTGACACAACCAACCAAGAGAACCACAAATGACACTTACCACCCGTCGCACCAGACGCGAACCTCCTTGCGGGCCTCCTCCGTCATGACGGCACACCAACGAGTTTCCAACACTACCTGATAATACTGACTGTCTCTTCCTACAGTTCCTACCGCGACTATCGCGACTGTCAGAGTGACGTCCGCCGGCGGCGGGCGGCCGGCCGTGGGCTGATCGGAACCACGAAGAATCGGAGAGAGGGACACGAAAGGGCGGAGGGAGAGACTACACGGTACACGCGTGCGCGCACACAACTTGCAGCCCGAGACCGATCCCGTAATGAGTCGGATTCGCATGCGTTGTTTTACATATACATTGTACAATGTTGCGCAATACGTTTCGCTACAAGATCAGTGGCGAGCTTTAAAATCCCGTCGCGTCCCGCGCCCTCAAGAATCTCAAATCTCATTCTCATGCTGAGTGATGCTGAGTTGGCGTCATCGCAGAGTAGGGATCAGGGCTGACGTAACTCTAGGGGGAGCGCGGCCCTTGTGGAAAAATTAACTGACGATAACGCGCGTATCTTTCTCTTCTAATATCAATTTCGTATACGTTGAGTTCAATTCTTGTGAATTAAAAACCCATAATGATTAAGCTATTTTGATTAAAAAATGATTTTACGTAAAGAGGATTATCGAAAACACACTATATTTATTGATTTAAATTTTTTAAAATTTTTCAAGCCTCTTGACGAAATAAATAATTGCTCATAATTCGCATGATCAATTGTTAAAGATTATCTGATAGATGCGAAGCGTGTCCTTGATATATATAGAGTTCACTTGATCTTTTTGCATTGCAATATATATGCGAAAATATACTCTTGTGTTCTATTCTCGTACAAGTTTTATATACTTTTATATAAGCTATATATCTCAGTTTTTAAGAACTAATCATAGAATGAAATGGCGATTTAATTCGACAATATTTTGAAAACATTTTTAACCCGTAGTGGTCACACCTCTTAAAAATAACGTATTGGTCACACTGGGTCCAGTTGATCCGACGCAAAAAAACAATCGCCATTTGCGTTCTACTTGATCTATTGACTACATCAACTCAAAAATTACCTCGGGTCAGACAGACCCAGTGTGACCACTACGGGTTAATTTTAAAATATTCCGACATGACAATTCGATTATTTTAGTAAATTAATGTACAGTAATCAGTTTGTCGAGTTAATGTTTTAATTTTCATTATTCTACAAATAAATGACGAATAATAGTTATATACTTATCATAATTACCTGCTACTTATATTCTACTCCTCTTGAATATTTATTAAAAATTGCAAATAATCCGAAAAATTAATGTCATTTAAATACCTTTTTAGACTCACTGTCAATGCTAGATGATCATGATGATTTGATATATTTCTGGAATATTAGATGTGCGTATGCAAAGTGTCCCGAAATTCGCAAATCAAAATATCATATCAGTTTTCGAAAAAATAAATTAGAAAAATATTCTTTTTCTTTCTTACTGTGACGTTTTGATTTGCGAATTTCGAGCACCTTGTATATCAGACACGTGTATAAATGCGTCTATGAATAATACATAACCATGGGTTTTATCTCTTCCTGATTTATATATGTGTATACATGTACATTCATACGCACTTGTTACAACGTTAGAAATCTCTTTGTTTTAGCACACACAAAGCTAGGAAGAGATAGAGATAGATTCACATGATTAGTATTTATAGCGATTACATTTACTACGCATCCATTGCAGTTAAAAAATTGTTAAGTCAGTTTTTATTATTACTGTAATCTAGCAGATTTATTTTTTTATCAGTTAGATTTATAATGTTTACCAACATTATAAATCTAACTGATCTAACAGACACGAAGATTTATTATATAAAATGCAAAGTCATTTTAGAATTCCAAAAATATGTGAAATATGACGAATAAAGTAATAAATATAGAAGTAATCTTATTACTTTTCTTAAATTTGATATAAACTGAATGTTATCTTATTATTTTGTAATTTTGAACTTTGTTTCGCGACAAGGAAGAAGCAATTGACATTCTACATATTCTAATAATTTACAGTATCGCCGTAAAAACATATCGTAACGATGATGCCGGCAATTAGAAAGCTGGAAAGCTCGATTACTGTGGAAAAATGGGCGATATAATCATAGACATAACAAATGTTTTATTGCGGCGCGATAAATCTGAGACAAAGTAAATATTTTCACTTAAGTAAAAAAGCAAATTCCAAACTGGATCGTATGATTCTCGATAAGCGGCTTGACCAATGAATGAAGCAGACGATCTTCTTCGGCACTTTAAAAGATTAATTATTATCGATAATAGCACAATGAAAGTATCAAGCGTCTTTAGATAGGATATTTCATAGTAAATTTAACATTAGCATGTATATACGCGTGTTGTGTGACGGCATTCGTGACTTAGATGTCTGACTTAAATGGAACATGTTAAAATGTGTCATATCGACGTTGATAGAATACCAAGAGATAGAACACACGTTTATACATTCATGATTTATAATGCACAGAGAAGTCTCTGAAAATGTGTTTATGATCAAAATAATTGCAATTATACAAGCATAAATTAAATTTATATCGCTATTACGATATTGATAGCATTATAGAAATAAATACGCACGTAAAAGTAAAAAATAAATACGATATACGCTCTGCGTCAAAGAAATATCGAAGAAAAATCGCAAAGAGCCAATGCTACGTTTTAGCTTTTTATAGTGTCAGTCTTACACTATTTATTCAATGTACAGCGGCAAGCCAATCGAATTATAATACTATATCATTCGGCGACAATCATGTGACACAATTGACCGCTTAAATATATTAAGGAGCTATCCTAAATATAACACATGTGACTTGCATAAAATTGATAATATTATAATATTACTTAAAGCTAATGAAAAGTGACGTGTGTACTGGAAAAGAAAAGGAGACGAATGCTCGTGAGAATGTGTAATTTTTTGGAACGATTCTCTGCAATTCTGGGCTCGTCGGCTCAATCAATCGTCGACTGCCATTATTATCCCTCTGGAACGCAGATAGGAGTATTCTGTTACAAATGAAAAAGATATATAGAGCCAGAGGAAAATGTCGCCCTTATAACTTTTTCTTATTAAGACAGTCTTTATCAATCTAAGATTTTTTTTCTTTGTTTCGTTATGATACCCACATTTGACCGTTTGTACGAAGTCAATAGCCGTTTTGTTGCCTGTAGCTGCTTCCATATCCACTATTGTTCTGACTGTAGCTACCAGAGCCACCGCCGGAAGTTCCACTCCCAAAGCTGTTTTGAGGGAACGATTTACTGCTTCCATAGCTAGCCCCGCCTATGCCACCTATGTGAAGCGTACATCAAGCTTTTACAAAACAATAATTTTACCCATCTATACTACGAACGTCACAATACGGCACCAGTGAATATAATCAAGAATCTTAAAAAATAAGGAAGTGGAAAGAATAGAAGGGCTAAGAAGATGGAGACTTGATTGTATTCATATTTTACTGATTTAGAAAAACGTAAATAACATTTTGTCCTTTTCAAGCAGATGGAGATTAAACAAAATTACACAATCAATTTTTTAAATGCTGAGAACCCACCGCTACTGCTTCCGGACCATTTGTTGCGATCATTTGCACCAGTACCGGGAGAGCGGTCGAATCTTCCGCCTCTGTCTCCTACATCGCGACCTCCACGAGATCCTCGTGAACCACCACCACGGCCTCCAGAACCTCGTCCACCGCCTCCACCACCTCCGCTGCGTCCACCGTAGCGTCCTCCTAATTATTAATTAATAACAATCCTCCTAATTAGTAATAACAAAATAGTTAAAAAAAATTTGTTTAAGCCTTTTTTATATTTAAATATAATAGGTGTGAAATTTTAGCATATCTCTCCAAGTAAAAAAAAAAAGAAAAAAAAAGAACAATACTCACTCTTATAAATGCCGGGATTTCGAGATAAATCATATAGTTTTGGATTGACAACTTGCTTGGCTTCTTCTAGAACTTGGATTAAGTCACCAGCCTTGTGAGCATTGCCGGGAGTGAAAAAGGCGTACGCAGTTCCTGTACGCTGCGAACGGCCCGTACGTCCGATACGATGCACATAGTCCTCAGAGTTGGACGGATAGTCCAAGTTTATCACAAATTTGACATCCTCGACATCTGTGAGATACACAAAGTTAGAATAACAACACACGGAAAACACTTGTTCCTTTGTGGTTCAATTAACTTATAAAGCGAATATATTCAAGCATTTTACCAGGACGCTGTCTTTGCTAATGGAATTAAAGGATGCTCTCAAGTTACCATTATTGAACATTCTGCAGCGTCTTGAAGCATTTATAATGCTGCTGTCACGTGGTCGATATTTAAAACCAATATATTTGGACACGAAGGACGGACAAAAACATAAAAGTTACCTCAAATAATAAAATATATTGTTCCGAGGTGCAATAAAGTAGCTTTAGTTCCATTTGCAATTTGTATATATAACAACAAGTTGACCACAAAGAGCAAGTCTGCATGTAATTACCTGTTTGCGACTAGAGCTGGAAATGTAAATACATTTTTTGGAAATGTAGAGGAATCAGAGCTCAGATGGTTCTCATGGAATTCTCGCTTCACGTATTAGCGAGCTCTACATTTTTATTCTTAGTCAACATTACACCCTTCTCTCCCGCACCAAAGTATGGATCTGTGCTGGATATTTCGAAATTTGGTCCTTGTACATTGCTTCGGTGAAGAGGTTGGAACATCAAGTGAGCACCTTGCGTTCTCCACTCAACCCCCACATGTACTCCCCCATCAAATAATTAGCATCAAGAATTACGCACCGCAATATTGTGAAGACTCCTTCCTATTTTGATGCCATAATTATTAATAATTATCATTACCCCATATTTAATTGCTCGTCCTAACTTAGAGAATCTTTGACAAATCAAATTCACAAATATAATATAAATATTATGTAAAAATTTCGGAATATGCTATAAAAATTGTCCACGCTTATACTGAGTTTTTACGTGAAATAAAAAACGATGTTTAAACAATATCACAAATAATGCAGAGCGCGACTTGATGCAATTTAATATCAATCCAACGAAT